GGCAACACTTTAAAAAATATGGCAATTGTTTTACAGCAGGAGAAGCAGTAGATTGGCTTTATGACCTATTAAGAAATAATAGCAATTTTGGTCCTGAAGTTACAAGGCAACAGACTATCCAACTATTGAGAAAATTTCTTAAGAATCATGTAATTGAAGATATCAAAGGCAGATGGGGATCAGAAAATCTTGATGACAACAGTCAGCTATTCAGGTAATGAACAAAGAACTAACTGCACAACTGAATTAACGATAAATTTTAATTCCACTTCTATTATACTTTTACTAAAACAGCAGTTTCTTCAGAAGTAATGTTTTTGTAGAGAACTGTACTACTTTTAGTCCAATTAAAACCTATTAGAAGTTAAAGTTAATAGCTACACAATTCAAACTTATAAATGTTAGGTAGTACATGTCATAAGATAAGGAATTAGGAGGAAAGCGATATTATTCCTTCTGCATATTCTGAAAACTGTAACATTTCAAAGACAGATCATTATTAAACTTTAGTTTCATAGATTCAAGAATTACAAGACAAATTTTCACGGGTCTTTGCCTTCAAGTAACATATAATCTTATATAATCTAAGAATACTCATGATAAGATAAATACCAAACTTTATATAATAAATAACAGATGAAATATACCACAGGTTAAAGAGACTATTAAGTACTTATGTACCAGAGGCCCTGCTTTATGATTTACATGCTCTTATTTAATCCCTAGAGTAGCAATGCAGGGTAGGTATTAGCTCCTTTTTACAGATAAGGAAGCTGAGACCATGCTTCAACAAATCATGTTCACTGTCTGTAATCTGCTCTTCTACTTTGAAACACTATACTTTATTTGTCAGACTCTATTGCAGCCTCCTCTGTGAAACCTTTCTGAATCCCTCCGGCCACATAATTGCTTTTTCTCTCATGCACTCAGGGTTCTTTGTTTTATTTCCATTAAGTTTGGTCTTTAGATTCTAATATCTATGCTTTTTTTCTCAGAATTAGTACTTTTCAAATGAAATGTCTTAGAAATTGATTCTTGCCTATGTTATCACAGATGATTTATGCTATATAAGTAAACCAAAACAAGCATATGAATATTTCATTTTGTATAACACTCTAGAAATTTTCCTCTTAACTACTCCTTAGTCACCTTCGTTGGCTCCTTTGCTGCTGCTCAGCCTTTAGTTGTTACTGGTCCTCAAGGTCCTCCTACACTTGTCTTCATTTCACCTCTTTCCATGGGTAATCTCATGCCATATCTTCACCTACTTTTCTTATGACTTTCAAACCTCCAATCCAAATATCTCTCCTGAGCTTTAGACTCAATTTTTGCCTGTTAGACAGACACTTCTAATATATAGCATATAAATAATCAATATCATCTCTTAACCTAAATTTTGTCTTTTTATATCCATATCTGAATGAATGGCACTATCTTCCCTGTAGTTGCCTTGATTCTTTCCCATTCTCCTCCCCTTTAAATATGATTTAATTAAACCATTTCTATTGTTAGTTGCTTCAGTAGTTCTCTGATCTTTTTGTTAGACCATTGTTCTCTCTTACCTGGAATTCTGCATAACTCTTCAACTAGTTCCTCTGCCTCTAGTCTTTAACAACAATAAATAAAGTATAAAGTACTTAAAAATAAAGTTTACCAAAAATGTGTAAGACCTTACTAGAGAAACTTTTAAATTATATTAAAGATAATTGGAGAGGATATCTTGTTCATGGATAAGAAGATTTAGTATCATAAATAAGTCACTGCTTCCCAAATTGACAAATTCTGTACATTATCATTCAAAAGCACTATATAATTTTTGTAGGATTTGACAAACAGATTCTGAAGTTTATATAGTAATGTAAAGGTCCAAGATAATTTTGAAGAACAAAGAGAATTGCCTTAACTGATATATGTATGGGCTTAAATTAAAACAAGTACTGAGAATACAAACCCATACAGATATGGGAACTTGGTATAACTTATATATGGATTACACACTTATATATGAAAATAAAATTTTTATGAGAGAATATAAGAAAATATTTTTAGGATAGTAGAATGAGAAATAATTCCCGAAGTCACTAAAAACATGCATAAATTTAATGTATGATAAAAGATACCACAAAGTGAAAAAACACATAACCACATTATTTTTGTTTATTTATTAAAGTATAAAACATGAACAATAAAGATTAGTGATTTCCCTTAGGAAGAGAAAAAGAAATAGAATAAGCAAAGAATTTCTCACACTTAAAAAAAAAAGATAATGAAGTCTTTGATAAAATGTTAATTGCATTGGTTAATGGTTACATACATAGATGTTTTGTATTTTCTGTACTTTTTTGTATCTTTGAAATAATTTATATTAAAATGAAAGGAATATAATCAAAAAAAGTAGCAGAGACCAAGTTCTGGGAATTAGAACAATCACAGTCAAACAAAGAGCAAATAATATACACAAATCAGATAACTCATAAAAGAAATTGAGAAAATGTAACATTCTAGGACCTTTTTGTATGTAAGTGATTTCTCTGCAGCAGATTTGATTCTAATAATAACACAATTATCCAGAAATAAAATATGCACAGCATACTAAAGAAAGCAGGAAACTTAAAATTTTTAACAAGTTTAATGGGAAAATCAATTTATGTAGAATTTTCATTCTTTGGTAAATAAATAATAAATCCACTTTTTTGGGTGATTTTTAAGATAGACACTAAAAGTTTGTTTCTGATTTCACATTATTTAACTGCATGTTATTCTTAAACCAGATTTCCTGCAAATTCACCACTCAAAACCCTTCCACGAAGGCACCCAGAACTGAGAAAAAACAGCGTAGAGAACTTTTCCAAAGATAAAGACAGTATTTTTAAATTACGAAACTTATCTCGTAGAACTCTTAAAACACATGGATTACAGTTATCTCAGGTAAAATATCTTTTTTACTAATCACTAGTTTAAATATAATTACCATGTGCTTAAAAATAGAATCATGAAAAGTAAACGATTTGTTAATATTTGAAGCCAATGCTTGAAATCTCTTAACTCACTTTATATTCTAAAAATATATGTATAAATTTGTTTGGAACTCATATAAACAATAATAAAAATGGTAATGAGACATACTTGAAACAGTAATAATATAAGGATATTTTATTTTTAGAGTGATTCGAGGGTAGTAGGGGCAGGTGCAAAACCAAAAGCTTTATTACAATATGTTACATTATTTCTTCATATGACATCTTATAGCTCCACAATGGACTGATAGTAATAGAATTACTAAATATTAAAAATGGTGTCAATTCAATATTTCCTTAATTTGAACATAATATATTAAACCAAAGTAATTCTTTTTTTCAGGAAAATATAGAACACATGAACTGTGAAGTAATCAATGAAGATCAAGAAAACTCTATTGGTAATAGAGAAATAAGCCAGAAAGATGTTGAAGAAGTTTGGAGATATATTATTCTGATCTAGTAAGCTAAAACTAAGCTATAACCAAGTTCCGGAGATGTTTAGAATGTTAATTTGACATTTTCAGCAAGATATACAAGTGAAAAAATAAAAAAAAGATTTGTTGCCAAAGCTTAAAATTTAATCTGTATATGTTTTTTAATAAGTGTCCTTGCTATAGTTCTAGTACAGTAGAAATAGAATGTTTTCAGTGTGATTTGCCTTTTTTTGAATCAAAGTTGTAGCTATAGTTTGAGGTCTATATTGGAATCCTTCAAAAGTTATTTAGATAAATATATTTGAAAATGAATACTAAATATAAGCCTTCAAAGTTTGGTGTCAGAAAAAAAATATTCTGAGGGCTTTGTTTGTTTGCCAATCAAATTCTCATTTATATTCTATTACACTTATTTTATGGGGAAAAAAAAGTTTGTATTCTTTCTTCTATTTAGCCTGCAAACCACTTTAGGTGTGTCATCTTTAGAAGAAGTCATAAATCCAAAACAAGTAATTCCTCAATATATAATGTACAACATGACCAATACAAGTAAACGTGGAGTAGTTATACTTCAAGACAAATCAGGTTGGTATCAATAAAAGAAGCTGAAATCTTTTTAAACTTGCTAACAAATTTTGTAACTATTGTGGGAATATGTAGAGACCACAGTGTAGAAAGCAGAATATTTTAATCGGGAGGACATCAAGGAGATTGTTGTTTTATCGTAGGTGCTTTAGCAATCACAGTGGAATAATTTTTACGTAAATATTATACATACTATTAGCTCGTAAGATAGAGTCTCGATATTTTAAAAAATGGCATGGTTAAACATCTAAATATAATTAAAGCTATTGATTAACCACATTTTATTGAAGACCTATAATGTGCCAGTCATTGCGCTAAAGATTTAGTGATGAACAAGAAAAAAGGAAATGGTCCATCCCTTCATGGAGCTTATACAAGTAGTTATATATAAATTTAAAGGGGTCGAGACATAGATAAAACCAAAGTAACAATAAAATAACCTCAAACTCTCACAACCAGTATTCTAAAGATCACTGGCTTGATATATATATATCATTTTTTATATTATAGTGTTTATATATTTATATAATATATTGATATCAGATATAAGATAGGGAAATCAGAAATAATTCAAGCCAGATGTATTAGAAAACTTAGATTATAAAAAAAGTATCAATCTCAAAATGTTGAGTCATTTTTTTTGTAATCAGTTTCTGTCTGTAGAATTAATTGACATGTATTACTTTCAATTTCTTTGTGTGGGCAAGAACTTTGAGGTTTTAATTGTAGGAACAAATAGTAAATGTCAAAACTTAAGAGTTATGTTGTATACGCTTTGTATATGTTGCATAATGGTTTTATGCCATTTCTATTTTTCATTACCTAAAATAATTAACAATATATGCTCCCATCCAAGCTTTCTATTCTTTATAACCATAAACTTTTCAGGTCAAATATATGTGCGATTTTTGTGTTTGTATCAAAATACTAGATTTTATGCAACATAGAGGTAATTATTTGAAGCAAGCTTCATTGTGAAAGTACGCTATATTTAAATATAGCTTGTTTCAATCAGCTTTCACTCAAATCAGTAATACTCCAATAGCATAGATCTAGTCAGAACAGAAATGAGGATAAAGAAAAGATGGTGGTAGTAGATAAAGATAAATGTTAATTTATTTCCAAACTATCCCCCCCCAAAATAATTAATCTTTGATTTAGCAGTGCTAATTGTTTTATGTATTGTCATAAGAGTCAAACTCAAGATCTTTATAGCTTTTTAAACTTGTATCTTAAACTATTGCCTTGGCCCTATGTCTTATAAACATGTAATGATACACGTATATAACATATACATACATGCATATATACATGTATATAATTACATATAATAAATGCTAAGCTTTAAATATACTATCATAAAAATATATTTACTAAACAATCTAATTTTTTTATGTGTGTGTAGATGACCTTCCTCATTGGGTATTATCTGCCATGAAGTGCCTCGCAAATTGTAAGTCAAAGTATATATATGTATAGATATACATATATAGATATATATGTGTGTGTGTGTGTGTGTGTGTGTGTGTGTGTAGTATATTGATAGTGTTTAACAAGAATTGAGAAAAATTCTTAAAGAACTTATTAAAGTCTTGATAAAATACATTATTTCCCTTGATGTTTAAATGAAAATCTAGAACTGATTACATTTCTTTACATGTCAAGTATGTTATAGAGCCCTTAACTTTTTCTTTGCAAATGGTGATTTTATAATTCAAGTGCATCATTTGTGGCTCAGTTCTCATATATCATAAAATTATAGGCTAGAGGATCTCAAAGGATTTTTCAATATAATCTACATCAGTTACTTCAGTGAGGCCCAAAGAGTTCAAATAGCAGTTTGTAAGTAAAGCTCTTAGAAGTGGAAAGTTTCAGTCAGAAATGAAGTCATAAAATCTACTTTATACCCCTTGCCAATAAATGTACATACATGGCTTCAACATTCAAGTGCTTCATGACACACGTTAACTCTATAGGATATATTAATGGGACTTTTATGAAAAATTATGTTACTAATCAGCAAATTATTTTTTAGCATTTTATTCATCAAGCTTCCCAATGATCAGCGATAATTGACTTTTTTTATAATTTAAGGCCCCAATTCAAATACAAACCCTAATTGCTTTCAAAATCAATTTTTAAAATTTGCAGAGGTATGTGTTTTCAAATCATCAAAAGTTAAATTATATTTTAATAATTTTGTTACAAAAGTATTTTTCTAGTTCTTATAAAATTAGTATTTTATTAATGTTCAGGATAAATATATATTCCCTTGTTGTCCACTGGGTGTCAATATGACAAAATAACAGAATGAATAGCAATAAAGTAATAACGTAAGTTATAGAAAGATTTTATATTAAATCAAGGTAAAGATCTTGATCATAATCTTAAGATTTTTTATTTTCTCTAACTTTTCCCCTACCTAACTGCTCTTTACTCTCATCCTTTGCTAATGGTTAACAACTCAGATAAGCATATTTCCAAGGATTTCTCTAATGCCTCATCTTTAGGGATTTGTTACTTTCATCCCAGTCAATGTTATACCTAAATGATACCAAAGACATACCTAACTGTATTCGACTTAAATGACAATATATCTAGCCAGAAGAAGTATTAAGACTTTTTCTTATTATTTAACCCACCACAGTAATCCTGTGACATGTAAGAATCAGTGATCAATATACTATAATTTTTTTCCAGAGAAAAAACTAAGGCTTAGAAAGTCTTCTTTCTAATACATAGGAGCTATGCTAGATTCTCTAACTATAAATTCTATATTTTTAATTCCAGTAAAGTATTTTCTGTCAGACAAGACTTTGTAATAACTATTAAGTTTTTTATTCTTCATATTAAGAGTACTTTTTTATATCCTCTGTAGAAAAATGTTTATTTTGCTCTACATAAAACCCGTATTAGCCTTAAAGCTATTAAATGTGTGTTATGTCATTTGTTTGCTTTAATCCTTTTTCCGCTCACACTTGTGGGGCCATAACAAAAGTTTAGAGACAGAGAAGTAAGAGAGATCATTTGGATTTGGGAAAACAGATTTTAACTTGAAAGATAGCATAGTAACTCTCAAACCTGAATTCATATCACAGTCACTAGGGAAACTCGCCAAAGATTCAATTTCAGTTGATTCAATATGTCAGGAATCTTTTTTTTTTTTTTTAACTATGCCTCAGAAGATCCTTATGGCAAAGATGCCCAGATCAGTGTTTGGAAACAACTAAATTAGTGAAGCAGAAGCAAACATTTCTAGGCTAGTAATCCAAGCTTCTCTTCCATAGATTCCGGTCTGCGTAGAGGAGGCTATATTTTTAATAGGAACATCGGATGATTCTGTTTATGTGGTCCATGGACCATACTTTAAATATTGTTGGACCTCAAGGTCCTGAGCATTGCTCTTACTTTACATTGCTCTAAGTTCTAATTCAAGCTTTGCCACCAAGGACTCCTTCATCTTAAGCAGGTTACTCTGAGCTTCAGTTTCCTCATCTGTAACCTAGGATCAGGTCTTATTTCTGAGGAAAACACTAATAAGTAGACAGGGTATTTCAATAATGTTAAGCTAATAAAACAGAATATAAAGGTATTATTTAAACTCATTAAAGGTATGCTTTGTATCAAGCAAGATTTATTCCTGAAAATATAAATTTGCAAAAGACAATTTGTAAGAATTATTTGTATTATCCAAATAGTCTTTGCTTTATAAAATGAATTGTGATAAAATTCCATTAAAATAAATTTCCTTAATGCCTTTAAAATATATATCAAATTTTGCTTTCTATACAGTTTTTCAGGCACATAAATATTAAACAAAATGCTGGTAATTGCTTACAGTGATTTCTACGGAAAAGATAATAAGAAGGAGTGTGTACAACTCTTTAAATTTTTGAACTGTGACAGAATTTATTGTTAAACATAGCTCCTTCATGAAATAATAGGTTTTATACTTTTTATAAGTATATTTTAAAATGTGTCTAAAGTAAAATATATTTTGCTTATTTTTTTTTCCTCCTATTTCTTAGGGCCAAGAAGTAATGATATGAATAATCCAACTTATGTTGGATTCGAACGTGATGTATTCAGAACAATTGCAGATTATTTTCTAGATCTCCCTGAACCTCTACTTACCTTTGAATATTATGAATTATTTGTGAACATTTTGGGTATGTATGGATTTTTACTTATTTAAATTTATTTTATTAAAGGTCTAATTTAAGAGTTTAAAAGTATAGATAAATATGAAGGTGGCAGGCTATAAATTATTTTAAAATTTGGAAATACTATGGTTGAAAATGTGGTATTTTCCAGTCATTTATTTATTTATTTGTTTGTTTTATTTGTTTTTTTTATTTTTTTAGGTGAGGCAACCCTTGGTTGACCTCACAGATTGCAAGGACTTTGTCAGCTTACAATCCCTTATTAATTTTTTTTTTTTTTTTATGCCTACAGCACCTGGTCTTCCTAGGTGGTCTCCTATCCAAGAACTAACCAGGCCCGAGTTAGCTTCTGAGATCAGACAGGATTGGGTTTGTCAAGGGTGGCATGGCCATAGACTTTTTCCAGTAATTTAAACATATCATTCCAATACGAATTCTCCACACTAATTGGGTGTCCTAAAATTCAATTTATTTCTGACACTAACTAACCAGGGCTAGCCCAGACTCTACAAGTTAAGGACGAGATCCTTCAATTCTGATACAAACTACCCAGTGTTAGCACAGACTCCACAGATTAGGGGCTCAGTTCCACAAGATTGCCCTCAATTCAGCCACCAGCTGCAAATGGGGTCTTCAGGCTTACTCACACTTCCACCTGGCTTAGTACCAATTCAGGGGTTCTCACGACACCCCTCAGGTTTCATAATTGACTACAGCAAAACATAGAACTCTGGAAAATGCTTTACTTAATTACCAGTTTATTGTAAAGGATACAAGTTAGGAACATACAAATGGAAGAGATACATAGGGGAAGGCG